GGCGTTCAATCTCCACTGGATTAAATGTTTTACTGTTGCCTGGTTCTTCTTGTTTCGTTGGAGAATGAGAAGGTGAATATTGACGAGCTTGGACATCGGCGAGAAGCGAGCAGATTCGTCGAACTCCAGCGAGCTGGACGATGGCGCTGTCGTGGTTTTCCTTCATCATTTCAACGACAGTGGGGACGTTGCTGATCACGATTCGACGCACAGCGTTGCCACCGCCATAAACTGCGGAGAAAATGGCTTTGACATCATTTTTCACGAAATCATCGAGCGGATTTTCAATTGCTGCTTGGTTAAGCACAGCGGGTCCGTCAGATTCCTCAAGATGCCTCCTGCCGTCTTGGCAAAACATCATTAACCGCAGACATCGAATACTTGTTCGTAGTACTGCTATTCGAAAACGCGGGACTTCATCAGGAGGAACTATCACAAATTTTGGGAAAGGTTTGTTCTTGCGCCACGGAGGATCATACCATCGCTTGAAAGGGTCAATATCGGGCGATAATTCTAGTTTACGATAGTTGCGTACAGCATGCAGTAAAGCTTCAGTCACGGCAGGGTTTTCAGATAGTAATTCCACTTCAGTAGAGGCCTCTTCGAACACTCGTTTGTCCGAGATAACGACGTCCATGGAGATTTCTTCTAGTGGATTGTCACGATTGGTGCCTTCACCTAGCTCAGCTGTATGAAGGAAATACTGCACCGCTGAGTACATCACAGTAACGAGTGAGTGTATTTTGAAAAACTTTATGCTTCGTATCTACATACCTGCCAGGACAGGCTCAAGGAACAATGGATAGTGCTGTACAATTAGCACGTGCGTATGGATCTCACCACGTAGCTCGGACACAGCTCCACCCATGACTTTACCGACTTGAGTGCGACTGCTTGGCACTCAAAGAGACGCTTCCTTTTCTAGAGCACCATAATGGGCGCAGACATTCGCGCAATATTGTAGACATAGATTTTTCCTGCTTCAGTGCATTTTATTTATTCTTCATTTTGCCATAGACAAAATCACGAGATCTTTTTTCTATACGTTTTTGAGTTGTAAAACTTCTCCATGAGGAAAAAAAAAAGAGAGGTCGAAGTCGATTTAGGCCTCGTCCTTGTGGGAGTACTGCTTCTTGCCGCGGAGCTGCATCTCTCCGATCATCTCGAGGTTCTTCTGCACGGCGTCGGCTGATCGCTTCTGGAATTTCCACTGGCCGTCGCGCTTAACGACCACGTCGGACCACGTGACAACCATGACGGGCGTGCACTTCCAGAAGACCGTCGTGTGCGACGTCACTGTGGCGTTCTCAGCGTCCGAGAGCTCCACCACGTGGCCGCTGGGCAGGTGGCGCGTGTCGGCCACGAACTTGAGCTGAGCCAGCTCCTGCAGCGCCGCCTCGATCTCACTCTTGCCGGAGCAGTTGCCACCCACGAGCTCCTCGAAGAAAGTGGCGTCCTCTGTGAAGAGCGCCACCAGCGTCTTGACCGCCTCGTCGCCGTCCTCCAGCGAGTACGAGAGCGCGAACTTGTTCACGAGGTTAATGATCGCCGCCACGTCAGCCATGGTCTCAATAGTTCCCTTTGTCACTTGGGTAGCTTCAAGTCGGATCTGGAAATGAGGGGATTTGGGAAATTGTCCGGGTTGGCACAACCAAACGACATTTACGATTTAGTGGATCTAAATCGTAAATTAGGGCCGAATTACGAAAAGCGACATGAAATGCAGTTTGAGGCGTGTTGCAATGCGTCTACAAGACGACTGCACGATGTCATGCATACTCTATTGGTCGTGTGGGTTCATGGAGTCTCCATGAACGCCGACGGCATAGTGGAGTTTGCAAAAAGGTAGAGCAGTTATCGTTTTACAAGACACCCACCCACCCACCAAACGAGCTATTCGGCAAGTGCCGAATGGGCAGTGATAACGCTGCTAACAGACTCGTCTGGCAGCTTCGACTCTTAGCCTTATTCTCTGAACTCAAGCAGGAATATCTCGTGCGCAGGTGGGAACTTATTGCCTCCGTTGTAAACATTACTTTGCCTGAGTCTTAGCAGCTGATGAATGGACAATCGAACTACATCCATGTGCTCATTGCGACCCAACGCCGCCCTCTTGCACAACCGCTGCTTCTGTAGCGCCCCCAAATTGGGGCCCAACTGCCTCCTGGTGCCGTTTCCTACCAGCATTTATACCTCTCAGCGACCACACCGCGCTTAGAGCAACGGGACTTCCCTTGAAACTCCTAGAAGCCCTTCCGCCCCTGGCGTCTTCTGCCAGCTTTGTCCAGAAGGCTGACTCCGCCGGATAGATAGATGGCTTCGGCGTAGCTCGAAAACCCAACCAGTTCATGATGCTGTAGTTGAAGTGGCCTACCGGTATTCGAGGCAAAAGCCTATTTGCGCGAGTTAATTCGCTGCCAATTTTAGGTCTCTCCAGACGTTCTAAAAAGGAGCAGGCAGTGGCTGGAAAAGCGACCTCTTGAGTAGCTTCCGCCACCTCTTGCTCACTCTGCGTCGTCCCGGTCGCCTCGCAAGTCGCTCACTTCCTCGCCTTTCAATGATCCTGGGCTCTCTCTGCTTCACTTAGTTGTTCGCATTCTGGTTCCGACCACCTGATATCTGAAAGCCTAAAAAACTACGCCAGTCTGAAAAGCTGCAGCCTACAAAATAGGTGAGTGCACCCACTCCGTGTTCTTCCAAATCTCCACTTCAGTATTCTAATTGCCTTCTCGCTTACAGCCTATTAGCATGGATTCCAGCGCCCCGACGCGTGACGACACGCCCATGGAGTCCCCCGCCCGCAATGACAGCGCCACCTGGAGCTTCGTGCAGATGAACATGACGCTGCTCCCCATTGCGCGTCCTCTACCAGTTACTGTCGGCCACAGACTCCAGGAAGGAGCCGTGCTGGCAGGCGTAAAACCCTGCACTCCCACTCAGAAATTACACCATCGATTACGGCAAAAGACGACCAATATCAGTCCCAGACGACACGATCTAGACGGCAACAATGTGCGCCCAGCAACCATGACATCTCCCTGCAATCGGGGACTGCCTCCGACCCCCAGATCGACGGGATGTGGAGCCAAACGGAAACATTTAGAAACGTGGCATGTTCCTGCTATTGATACATCGATGCCCCCACCGTCAGTTAGTGCATCGTTAAGAATGCGGAGCCTGAGTGAAGACCTGTATCCCTCTGGTTCTTGGAGTGATAGTGGATACTCCAGTGACCCGGCGAAGCGAACTCCATCGAGCTACAGCCCACTACACCGAAGCTCCAGCTTATCCTCGGGCTGTGCCGCCAAGGGGCTGTACAAGGGCAAAAGAATTCTTGAGCTACAGGACGAAGATCGCCGACTCCACCCGGATGATCGCATCACGGCCCCGTCGCCGTCCAAGCGGAGCAAGCACCAGCCCTAATTCAGTTGATTGGGCTCCCTGCTGCTGCATTGCTATCGTTGTTTTACACTGCAAATACTTTGATGCATGTCGTGCTTACATTATTTTAACTCTTAAAACAAGGACATTATCTATTCTTCGTAAGAAAATCGTGTTACGATGATTTATCTGCTCTAGGTTATTTTGTTACTAAAGCTGAAATGTGACGAAAGCTCTCATTCACTGCGAGTTGCTGACGCTGACGCAATGGCCGTATGAACACATATACACGCTTCATAAGATTTTTTGGAATATTTCTTGCACAAGCAGCAATGGCCATATCTAGCCAACTTCTTCCTTGCGCATGAATACAGATGCGGATGGAAAAAGATGTAAATCAAATAAAAAAAAAACTAGCCGTCAGCCCAGAAGCACACAGCGAAATCGCAGATTATTACGCCTCGTTTAGTTCTCACGCGGGGTGAAGTTGTCGAAGTAGCGACTGATCTGTCCAATGCACAACTCCTGTGTTGCCTCTGGCATGTCTTCGATGAGTTTTCCTATACAGGTTCAACACATACAGTACATTTACGTTAACTTTTAGGACAGTACCAGCACTGCACGATCCCTACTTACCTGGAATGCCACCAATCCTGGAGAACGGCGGGATGACTGCGTCAGCAGGCACCACGGTGTTGTCCTCAATCCGGCAACAGTCTCGAATGATCGCGCGCTTACCCTGTACCACACATTGCCTTCCATTAACACAAACCCACTTGCATCAAGCAAAAAAAAAAAAGCTTACAATGACACAGTTTTTGCCGATCTGCACGTACGACCCGATCATGGCAGCCTCCACGATTGTGTCTTCTCCGATGTAGACGTAGTCTCCGACTTTCACAGGGATAAAAGCCAGCCCTCTGTTCCACAATATTTACATACCACCAGTAAAAAAATATTTGATTTCTCGTTAGATAAGCAGAGTTCTAGGCAACGTACGTGGACACGACCCTAGTCGGCGGCTTGACGACGCACTTCTCTCGTATAATGCACTGCTTCCCTAGTGATACTTTGGCTAAGTCTGCGCGGACGATGGCACCCGAGTCGACAATTGTCTGAGAGTATAAAATATGAGAATCTTTGGAATTTCAATGTGATGACATGGTTGACGGGGCATTTTTTTTTTCTATTGCTTTAGGCGAGTTTTTGACGCACCTTGCCGCGTAGATGGATGTTATGAGCACCGCAGAGAGTGCATTTACGGCTGATCTTGTTGCCTGTGGACGTGTGGATGTACGTCTCGGGGTCGAACTGCGTCTCGGGCGCCTCCACGTACGGATTCATTTTTGCTGCTGTCACTATGGACTTCAAAATTGATTTTATTGAATTGTTGATTTTTATTGAATTAGGTAATGTTGTCTGAATGTTGCTCATTACGCGCAACACTAAATGCAACTTACTGACTTCAACTCACGTGAAATGAAGCAACAATAAGTAAGGTAGCATAATTATGTCAAAAAGCAATATATGTATTGAGAAGCTGCCCGAGCGACTAGAGAAGCTGGAGTATAATATACTTGACGCACAAAGCACGATGCCGACAATGACGTATAGTCAAAGGAATGGCTCAGCGGCACGGTGTGCTTTCGTACTCGTTTTAATAATATTTTTTTTCCATGAATGTACAGCTCAATTTCACTCTTTTCATCTTGACTTCAGAATCGTGCGCATTGCAATAGTTTTACAGCCATTTCTTGTTCGCATTAAGTAAGTGGGATCGCTTTTCGGGGCTCTCAGGATGGTAAAATGCTGGCCCTGGTACACTCCCTTTCTTAAACGTTCCTCCCATTCCTTCTGCCCTTGACGTTTTAGACTTGAACACACTAGCAGAACCTTGCTTTTCCGCAAGCTTATCAACCAGAGTCGACACTTCGTACGTTCCTGGGCCTGTATTGCACGATCAAGGGCTGCGTTAATTTCAACTTCGTTTATCCCGTGGAACACAATTCTTACCAAGTTCTCCATCCGTCACAATCTTTCCTGGCATGCGTCCGAAGCGATCTATATTGCCAGCGCGGAAGGCAGCGCTTGTGTGAGCTCTTGCCACCCGGTCATATCGAAGTGCACTTTCTGCATCTTCGGCATTGTACGCTCCAGGACCTGGGGTACAATATGTATCTGACCCAAGACGTTTTACCGATGATTTGAACACGGAATGAGGACAGCGATTGCTGCGGAGAGATCGCCCAAGCTGAATGGGATTCTCGTACTGTCCTGGCGCAGGGATCTCGGTAGGAATCTGCCACCCTCGGGACGTTTTGGAAGAGAAAACAGACTTCGAGACGTTCTGTGAATACGCCAACGATGGCTGTTCTGCATTATAGTCGCCAGGTCCCGGAACATAATTATTTGAGTTTTGATTGTTGCTGCGGGTGGACTACAAGCCACGCAAATCTTAGAGTAAGTGCGATTACTGTATGATCTAAACCAGCGCACTTACCGTGTTAGCAAAGCTGCTCATGCCGTGTTTCTTGTTCTGTGTCTGACGATCATCTCTAGTTCGCCCAAAACCAAAAAGAAACCGTCGGTGAATAACTGTGGAACATACAAATGATGCGAAGCTGTCAGCGGGCTACCTGTTTGGCTGGTATTGACCAGGACCTGGTACGACCTGCTTGACCTGCTCGTTGAATCGCTTTGACTTGGACACGAAGCCTGTGCTGTACCCCAATCGAGACACCGATCCCGAATCTATTGTTGAGCGTACAAGACTCGGCGGTTTGTAATAATGGCCGGGCCCAGGCAACTCGTTCTACAGAGTACGCAGAAAATGGTTTCAATATTTCACTAAACTTCAACACAATCCAAATTCCTGCATATGTACCTCGCAATCGCCAAAACGCTGCGTCCGATTGCCAAAACCATTGCGTTCATTCGGATCACGATGCAGAACCGTCTCGTACTTGGACGGAATTGATGACACTTTCTACTTACAGAACAGTTCGCATCAGCTCTCTTCAATGCGAATGACAAACACCCACATACCATATTTGGGTCTGGAGAAGCTTGTCTGCGTGCTGCCGCCCCTCGCATAACTAACCCCGTGGGTTTTATCCCCACTTGTCGAAAATTTGGCTTCGACTGCAGCTCGTCAGCCGGATACATCGAAGCAGGGGCCTTCATCTTCACTAACCAACGTCTCGTGTATGTATGTCACTTGATTAAAATACCTAGGGAATACATGTATATCAAGACCTATTTTTAGCGCTCGCATCACAAAATAGAATTTAGACAGGAGCAATTTCTCCAATACCGCATCATTTATGAGAGACCAATCCCGTCCAATCGGATGCTGGGACATATTGAATTCAAGTCACGACGGTGGAATGACGTCAGCTCAAGACCCGCTGGTGACCTTCGGGTTGGTGACCGACGTGCAGTACGCGGACGTGGAGAACGGATGGGACTTCCACCACATCTCGCAGCGATACTATCGAAATGCTCTGCCGCAGTTGCAAGCCACAGTCGAGGAGTGGCTGCGCGTGGCCAAGAGTGGAACGAAACTCCACTTCGCCGTGAATCTGGGAGATCTCATCGATGGCAAGAACCGTCCTGCTTCCACGTCTCGACAAGCTCTAGAAAGCGCCAAAGCGGCGTGGACACCGTTCCAAGACGCCGTGGGGCCAGTGCATCATCTGGTTGGCAACCACGAGCTCTACAACTTTCCCGCTTCAGTCATTCAGAAGGAACTTCTGTACCAACCTCCAAGAGCGTCGAAAGATGCGCCGCAACGTAGTTATTACGACTTCCAAGTGCCCGAAGCACCAAAATTTCGCTTTATAGTACTGGATTGCTACGGGATGTCGATCCTCGGACGGGAGAAGAGTGACCCGGTGTACCAGGAAGCTATGGCCCTACTGCGGCGTGTGAACCCGAACGAGAACCTCAATTCTCCGACGGGGCTTGTTGAAGAGCAGAGGAGATTCGTGGCTTTCAATGGAGCTGTGGATCGAGAGCAGATGAAATGGCTGGAGTACACATTAGTAAAGGCCACAGAAGCTGAAGAGAACGTGGTCGTCTTCACACACGTCCCCATCCACCCGAATACTTCGCCGACACCTTCGAGTTTGTTGTGGAATTATCCGGAAGTTCTGGAACTTATTCGACGCTTTGCTTGTGTCCGCGTGGTCTTTTCAGGCCATTCACATGCTGACGGATACGTGTACGCTCACGAAGGCATGCACAACAAAGGGGTTCACTTTGTCGTTTGCGATGCCATTCTGGAATGTGCTCCATCCGAAACTGCACATGCGCTAGTGCACGTGTTCGAAGACAGACTGGTCGTCCAGGGCTATGGCAAGATCCCCACACGCGAACTGCGATTCCCAAAGGAAGATAAGACACCGGAAGAGTGAAGACGCTGCTGGAATTGTCTGAGACTTGCCGCCCCATCGGTTGAAGCGCGTGTATGCCTAGAGTAGAGTTACGTTGCAGAGATAGAGATCAATGTTCCCACAATACAACACACGCCACAGCGCCTGTGGTCGTAGCTTGATTGGCTTCAGGCGTGGGGTTTCTTATTTACGCAACGCGTCATTTTTCACTCAGAGGTTTTGCTAGCTGGCTAGCATAGATGGTCACTAACTGACTGGCTTCACCTCGTCCGCCTTGCCTGCGTCTGCAAATTTCCTGTCTCCTGCAATAGGCTCTCTCATTTTATCAGTAGAAACAACCTGGCACTGCGGATCCAGTAGCTTCACAGCCGTAGCCGCTTGAAAAGAACAGAGAGCATCCACTTAGTGGTGCTCGTCCTTCTTTTCAGCGAAAGCGTGTCCTGCACAAAATAAAATAAAGATACGTTAGAAAAATAATACTCCCTCACAGGTCTTTCATAGTTGATCAAATACGTACTGTGGTGGCACCACCACTCAACAGCGCAGCCAGCGCCGCCCACGATGAGCATCATGTGCGCAAGCGGCTTAATGCTGCCGTTGTAGATGAAGCGGTTGCCGTAGCCCTGGGCCCAGGCGTTGAACTTGTTGGTGGGAGGGTTGGCCGAACGGGCGGCGATACCAGCGCGGGCGCGGTCCACCAGGTTGGCGGTGGCGGCACGCGAGGCCTGGTACTCCTGCGCCAGCTTCTCCGGGTTGGTGTCGGCCAGGCGGCGGATCTCGTCCAGCGTGTACTCCTTGGTCATGGTGGCGATAGGTTCCTTCCTGGATGCTGCTGAGCTGCTGGCCGTTCAAAGAGTCTGCGGCCGTCGTGCGGCGCGAGGGGAGGCGCGACGATTGGTTGATTATCGCATCTTGACATTGATTGGTCAATTATTCTCTCCATATCAGCCTATGATTGGTTAGTTCTTGACCAATCGCAACAAATTTCGGTATTGGCTTTCAGTAATTTAGGTAGAAATTTACTTTGCAAAAATCTGCGCTGAAACAGTAAAATCCATGAAAACCAGTATTATTTTCGGTATGCAAATTTTGAGAGAATCCAAATTTGATTTTTCAAGTTGTTAATCTGAAAATATGCTGAGCGTTATTTCAGAATCAGAATTGCCAAATCAGATCCAGTCTGACTCTGAGTA